GAAGGACGGGAGAGTCGGAGTTGGCTCACGGAAGGCAGAGGGGAAGAGCGTCGCCTTTGACACACTTCACGTTCACATGATTTAACCCTTTATGGTCTTATGGTGTATTAACTAGTGGTTTGGGGTGGTGGGTCAGCTGGTCTGCACAGTTCACACACTTCCACAGGAGGCCAGGGCCTTCAGGGAAACCGTTCTTGGATTATCCCGGCAAGAGACCCCAAACAGTGTGTGTGAGGTCTGCAAGAAGACAGTCTAGAGATCTAGACGCATTGGGGTCCAGAGAGGTGATGGTGGTGATGAAGTGCAGGTGGGTGTGAGTGAGTGTGGGTGAGATGGAGTGTGAGTGTGAGTGAAAGTGGGAGAGTGAGTGTGGGTGCGAGTGTGAGTGAGAGTGAGTGTGGGTGAGAGTGAGTGTAGGTGAGAGAAGTGTCTGTGAGAGTGAGAGTGTGAAACTGAAGTGAGAGTGAGAGTGAGCTCCCTCACACTCCCACTCACACTCGCTCTCGCACTCACACTCACTCTCCCACTCTCACTCGCACTCGCGCACACTCACTCACTCCCACTCACACTCACTCTCACTCACACTCGCACTCCCTTGCTCACACTCACACTCCTCACACTCACACCCACTCACTCCCACTCGCAGACTCTCACTCGTTCTCACTCACACGCGCACTCACACTCACACGCACACTCACTCACCCACACTCACTCTCACCCACACTCACTCTCACTCTCACTCTCACTCACACTCGCACTCACACTCGCTCACTCTCACTCTCACCTACTCTCCCACTCTCACTCTCAAGAGTGAGCATGTGAGAGCACAAAGGACTGTGCCTGCCACGAAATCTGCACTTCGAGGTTCACCAAGCGCTGTGCCTGCCACGAAATCTGCACTTCGAGGTTCACCACACGCTGTGCTTGCCTCGAAATCTGCACCTCGAGGTTCATAAAGCGCTGTGCCTGCCACGAAATCTACACTTCGAGGTTCACCAAGCGCTGCGCCTGCCACGAAATCTGCACTTCGAGGTTCACCAAGTGCTGTGCCTG